GGCCCTAGGGTACATGGAGAGGCTCTTTCCAGCATATCATGACCAGACCTGATGCTCCTCTAAAAAAGAAGTTCCCTTCCATTGAGCCTATGTCACCTCTGCATTGACATGCCTAGGGCCTGGGGGAGATGGGAAGGAAGAGAAGAAACACAGAACTGTCTCCCTTTCTGCCCTGCCTTTAACATGCTGCTTCCAATGACCACTGAAGCGGTCTCACTTTAAGTGTTGATATGTGCCAGTGAGCCTGTGGAGGTGCATAGCCTCAGAAATGAGGAGACCCTCTGGACCAGATCAACCTCTTATCTTTGGCCTTCAGAGACTTTATCAGAGAACAGGTGAGTGCATCAGCTTAGAAAATCTTATCCACAGAGATCAGAAAGCATTGCTTGCTTAGGCAATTGCTTAAGCAATTAAGTGTAGTGAATTTTCCTCTACAGTGGTATCCAGAGAAATCAAGAATCAACTCTGCTCAACTTTCCATTCAAACTTCTCTTAAAGGAAGCACAGGAGTGCAAAAGAAAAGGAAGAAATTACAAGAAACCTTGGACTAAACATTGTAACCCTTGCCCCTATCCTTCAGATTGCCCCTTGCCTTTTCTCTCTGTTTAATTTAAAATATTCATCTTTCAAGGCAAAAAGGGAACTTTAAAGGGAGGTATGGAATAAACTTGTTAAAAATACAGGTGAAATTTCACTGCTTGTTTGTGGAACTGAGTACAGAAAATCAAAAAGTGTTCTGGCAGAGGAAGAAATGCATTTATTGAGGTATCACGCTGTAGCAGTGCACTGAGGCCTCTAATGAGAGCATGTTCCAGTATGCTAAGTAGTCCTTATCTACATGGGAAGATGTGTTTCCTGACACCTTCTGAAATCTAAAGACACAGCGACAAAGCACAGTGGCTTCTTTTTTACCAGCAGGAAAAGTAATGCACTGAGAAATCAAGCCTCATACTTCAAAGCTCAAAGCAGAGCAACTTTGAAGAGTGTGCGTAGTCTGACTTACCCTGGTGCCACAGAGCTGGAACCCCAATGCCCTCCTCCTTGGTGGCAGGCCAACACCTAATTAGACGCCAGCTCATGCATCCTTTTACACGTATCACCCATACTCCATACACTGGGACTCGGAGCTTGCTACCTGAAAAGTCCCTAGCACTCAGGTCTAGATAGATAAATAATAATGGCATTAAGAGACTAAAATATTAACATAAAAGACTAACTGTTGTAATTTCTTCTTTGTATGATTCAAGCTAACGGTGTCTTCTGTACTCGAAGGGAGACTGCTTTGAAAGGATCAAGAACAGCTCTGTGAAAGTGGGAGGAAGGGACATTTATATAACAATAAGCCTTTCCCCCCTTAATTTTCTCAGTTGGCTGCACAGTCTTCTCCTGTCTTTTGATGAGATCTCTTAATAAAAACATTAAAAGGATGAGCTTAGGCGGCTCCATTTCCAGTAATAGGATGGGTATGAGACCAATGAGAAACTTCATTTCATAAAACCTCCCTGCTGAAATCTACCCTACCTCAGCGTTTATCAGCTTCTCTGCTTTATTGTCTAGTTAAAATGGAAATAGCTCAGCTTCAGCTCTTACTCATCAAGGCATGTGGATGACAATGTCAACTGACACCAGTTTTCATAAGCTAAAAAAGCTGCTCTGGGATAAGCAGCAGTGAGACCAATCAGATTTAGTGATTAATATTTCCTGCTTCAGAAAATATAAAGACACACATGCAGTTAAAATTAGACTTCACTGGAAAAGATGACTTGAGAGAATAGTTGGGCAAATATCAGGCTTCTCAATGAAGGACCAATGGCTTGATTCTTAAGTGGTATTTCCCAGTGCAGAAATGAAGTTTTCTGGTTGTGTTACACAGGTAGATGACAGTTAAAAAAATAAAAGAAGAGTTGCCTCCCATTGCCCTATGTCCAAATTTATTTCCTGGGACATTAAAAAAAAAGAAATCTGCTCTTGGTATGTGCACAGTAATCGCCATCACCATCCCCAGCCAAAAAAACATTCCTCTCTCCTTTTGCCTTAGACATATTCTTTAGGATGCCTGCTGCGTTCCCAGTGTGGCTCTGAGAAATATCACATTCTCTTATCCTGCTTTTTTTTTCTTTTTTTTCTTTTTTTTTTTTTATTCACTTCACCCACCAGCAGCCTTCATTTTGCTTTGCTTGCCTGGCCACCTGGAGGAAACACTTACAGTCTTTCAAACTGGGCTCACAGAGTTTGACTGAGGTGTTACATCAGTTCTAGACCGGTAGTGCACCACCAAAATGGAATGATCCAGCTGATGAACAGGCAAACTCCAACCACTGGGTTTGTGCCAGTGACTTTGGTATGCTAATGTGGGGTATAACAGAGCACTGCGTCAGATTTCATTTTATAATATTTAGTCTTCGAAGATGTAGAAAGAGAAAAGGCTTTTTTTCCTCTTTCACCATTACTTTTGTAAAAGGAAGCTGTGCTGAGAACTGCCATATGTTGAAACATCCCTTTATGGACACATACAGCTCTCTTACAGCTTTCACAACACTTGCCTTTCCTTGGCCCTTGGACGAAGAATAGAGTGAAAAGTAATGCTTGGAGCCCTTAGGATCAGATACGGTTGGTAAAGGTACCCTGCAGTTTCTGGCTCATCAGAGATCTCTCAAGTCAGATGCAGAAACCTGTGGATAATCTTTGCTGTCCAGTAGATAAAATGGGCCAGAGACCTTACAGTCTGATCTTACAGCTCGTATTCTGTGGTTTAACATTGTTCCCAAGTCACAAATGGGGTGGAAAGCCGTCAGATATTCTCATGCAGGAGCTTCATGGCCTGTGTGATACACTTGGAGCAAATCAAGCCTGTGCTACTAATATGGAGCATCTCTCAGCTCCCTGTACCTGACAGAGGCTGCTAGGAGAAGAGCAGAACACTGAGCAGGCTATATGCTGCTATGTGTTTGTTCTTCATAGTGTTTTGGATCACAAGGTAACTCTGAGGAGCTCTGGGGCTGTAGCATGCAGTTCTCAGGAGCTAACATGGTCTTTGACAGGATGATGAGGCTTTCTGAGTAAGAACCTTCTAATAAAAAAGAAACATGAGTCCAACAGGGGAGGTTTGGAAACAGAAAAAGAAACCTTTGAAGGGGGAGAGACCAAGAATAAGAGACAACCCAGGTGGCAGAAGAGGAGAAAGAATCTCCCTAAATAATGAAAACTTGAGGAGTGAGACACAGGTCTCTTCTGCCAGAACAGAAGGAAAGAGAGACCACGCTTTGAAATAGGAGGGGAAGAAAAATAGAAAAAAAAAAAAAAGAAAAAAGGAAAAAAAAAAAAAAAAGAAAGGAAGTCACTAAAAGCAGAGGACAAAGAACCAAAAGGGGCGGAGTAGGGCACTAAGATCAAAGGGACTGCTGTATGGAAGTTGAAAGCACAAGTAGAATATAAAAACCATGGAGATATTCCATTTTGGGTAACTCCAAAGATGAGGTTTTGGGATTTCACAACACAGGGTTAAAAATGTTTGACCTGGTTATCTAAAAAAGAAAAACATCTCAATTGCTGTCTTTTTTTTAGAAGAAATCCTGCCAATCAGTTTGAAACACAGGAGTGCTACTGTATTCTTTAAATCCTTTCTGATTTTAATTTATTTTATTTCATTTGCATCCTATTATGCCTTAATTAGATGGTGATTTCTCAGTATCACACATTTAGGTCAGCAGATAGCCCAATGGAGTGAGAGAATGAAATCAGATGTAGTTGAGGCATACAGTTTCTTGGAGTATTTACTGTACCCTAAGAGGGAGGAGATGACTAGAGAGAGACTGGATCATACAGACAGTTGTGGCAAAACTATATATTAAGACGCAGATTTTAAGTCCATATCACAGGTCATGCCTTTCAAAAGAGCTTAGTCTGTATTTGTGCATGTAAAAAAAGTGGTCAGATTTTTTTACATGCACCAAAACATATTTCCAGAATGAAATGAAATGTTCATTTGGAGGTGGTAAAAGTTTATGGTCAAGCCTGAAGGTCAGTGTAAATTAGAAAGCTGGATTCCTCTTCTCTCCATCACGTGTTCTTAGTCCCTCTAATTTATACTCCCTTCCCCCTGAAGGATTAGCAAATAAATTCATTTTATTTAAAGGGGTTGTCAAAATATAACGCAGTCAGCTTCAACTCATGTGTTTCAGCTCAAGAGCAGAAACAGTCCATGCAGAGAATTCTCTGAAAGTCACACTAGTAGCAGACCAGAGTTTTCAGTCAGCACCACTGGGGTGGCTCTGATGACTTTACAGTTAGTTCATGATTTATAAATGTCTTTTGTAACATGGTTCTCCTGCATCTCTCCTCTGCCTGCTACCTGTGGGTTGTGCTGTTCTGATGTCTGATTCTGCTCTCAGCCGGTTCATCTTGATTAGAGGAAAAGAGAGTATGCAGGGGGATGTATGCTTGCGCGTGTGTACAACAACACATAGCTTGTGAGCTTCCATCCTCTGAAAGCAGCTTTTCATTCTTGTCAAGACAAACCCACAGCGAAGTTCAGAAGTCATTGCTGTTAGACAGGAAAAGGGCCAGTTCAAATCTGTCACTCCATCAGAGCATGGTATTCCCCCCTGGTAAAGGTCACTTTGAGAGAAGATATGAAAGTGATTCAATACTTGAACTTATACACAAAGCCAAGCAACTTATTTACTATGCAGTGACCCTGTAGTGACCTCATCCACAACATATGCAGCTCCCACTGGCATCGGTTGGTGTCGTGAGTACAGATCAAGAAAACAGTATTGCTGTTCTAGGGGAATACACTGAGTGCATCTGCGCTTTAGTTTTACAAATCCCATATGCACCTTTCAATCACTTTTTATAAACATTAATAAAGTATTGAGTGGAGCTTTGAAAGATGAGCTTTTATTTTCATCCAGGCATTTCTAATGCTGTTTCTCAAGGCACAGTGAGTAAGACATACACCAAAGGCATGCAAGAGTTTTTCAAGCTGTGCCGTCTTTTACCTTGAACAAGAATGTTCACAGCGATGCTCTGAAATAAATTCCAGTCCAAGTGATCATTTGCTTAAAAGTGAGGAATAAGCAACTTTTTTTTTTCTTTTGAAAAACATCGGAGGCCAAAGGGATCATGTAGAACTTTTCTTGCACTGAACTTGATTTTATTAGTTCTCAGGGAAGCACCTAGTTGAGAAGGTAAAGAAGAAAACTGATGATCCCCATCTTTCAAAGGCACACCATGGTTACCAGCTTTGCAGGACTACCGTATGAATCACTGTTTTGTGTCACTGCTTATACACAGCTGTGCTGTCACCATGCAGAATTTTTCTGAGCACCAACATCCAAATTCAAATTAAAAGAGAAACCCAAACAAATTCATCTACTTCTCTCATGATTCACCCGCTTCCTTGCCACCATCATGGATGCAATGCAGGGACAGAGAAGGAGAGCAAAAAATAAGAGCAGCAACCTCTAAATTTGAAAAGCTGAGGCTGTTTGTTTAACAGATAGAAAACATTTATAAGATCTTACTTTATTCTGAGGTTTCTAATGCAGGTTTGTTGTTGTTGTTTTAAATTATGTTCCCCGGTTTCCCCCAAACCAAGTTTACAATTCTAGTATAAAACAGCAAATCTGTCTGCGTGATATAAAAAGCTATTTTCTCCCCCCTCTTTCCTTTTTTATTTCCCCTCCTCAATCAACAGCATTTGCCTCCGGTGCCTCAACAGTAGCTATGACTGTGTCTTAATGAAAAAAGATGTATAAAATATTACCATAACCTCAGAGGCATGAGTAAAGCCCTTATTAGGATTCGGGACCTACAGCTGGAACTGGGGCTCAGGCTGGGAGATAAAGTTAACTATTGTTAGCTCACAAGTGGCTCAGACTTCCTGGCAACTGAAGTGAATTACTCAGCCCTTTATGCAGGGTTTCAGAAACAGTTCACTGTTTCACAACAAAAAAGGCATTCAGGCAGGCATTCAGGCCGGGAGAGATGGTCTCCCTGGGCTCTAGAAAGCTAGCTTTAAGACAGTGAATGGACACTGGAGCCTCATAAGTGAATGACCACTGTGGGAAAGGGTGATGATGTCAGCCTGAATGCATTTCCAATGGTTTTGTCCCACTTTTCATTGCTTTTGCACTCTCCCTCACTCCCTTTCTCTGTCTCAGTCTGTCCCCTTCCTGTTCTTTTCAGGCCATTATTTTAAAAGTTGAGACCTCGCATCAACACCAAGGGCCCACTGCGACGTGGTTGCCATGGCGATGTTTCTCTGCACATTTGTTTGCATATAAAAAAATATTTGGGGGTTGAAGGGGGGTGGGGGGGCTGAAAAGGAGATGAAAAAGTGAGAGGTGGAGGGAGAGGAGGAGTGTCAGCATCCTGCGGCTGGGAGCTGGGGCTCACAGGCTAGTAGGGCTGGGGGGAGGAAAACGGGGGGCACCAGGAGGGGAACTGATGAAAGCAGCAGGGATTTGGGGTCCTTTGAAAAACAAATTTGTAATCCTTCACACTGCACATGTTTGAAAGGATCGGCACTTTTGAAGGCCTAGGAAAGAATCGGAATAATGTTCTTAGCTAAGCCCTCGGAAAGAACAGAGCCGTGCTTTGGAAAACATACCCAATTACATAAGTTTATCAAAAGCTTTCAAAGGCTCCTCTGTCCTCAACCAAAAAGAAAAAAAAAAATAGCAGAGGGGTGAAAGAAGGAGAAGGCTCCTCGGTGCATTGCCTGTGGTTGCAGGCACACTGCATCTAGGCCGATGTCCCCTGGCCAGCATGGCCTGCCATCCCCGGCCTGCCTCCCCATGCTACCAGCACCTCCTGGAAAGTATCTTTGCAAAAACTGTCTGGACATGCACACCACAAGGGAACGTGGAGCAAAACACTTAACATACAATCCTTGCAAGTAAAACCAAGCCGCTTCAACACTCCTGGCCTGCAAGCCCACCTGGATCGCTTCCTACCCTCCATGAAATACTTGCTATTCATAGGGATAAATGTATGCAGGCTTGGCTAAGCTTTTCCTGAGGCAAAATTACAAGATGGCAGTGTTGTGCAGGCAGCAAGCATTACGTTATGGATTAGCCCCACCAGGCTCCTGGTGTGCTGGGGTTTGGAGCTAGTGTGAACAGGATTACAGCTGCACCGGGATGTTTTAGCAGCAGTCCCCCTTGGGGAGTGCCCTCCCTGTGCCTTACTGCAACCCTGTCCTGCTGAGACTATCTTTGCATCTTTGCAGGCAAAAAGGGTAGCTTCTGACAATGGATAATTAACACAAGTTTCCCATCTTGATGTTATTAAAAAAAAAAAAAAAAAAAGGCAATCACACAGCACATACTGGGGTAGCTTTGTTGTGCTGTAAAAGGGGCTGCTGGCTTCACCTTAACTATCTTTCTGTTGGTGCTTTCCTTCACCCCCACAGAAAGCCATTATGCTTTTGTAGCCAGAGGTAAAAGCTATGCACAGGCAATATGCTTTAGCGTTGCCATAAGGTAAATTCACAAAGATCAGCCCTATACCCATGTGAGGCTGACTTCAGTGAATTTTCCTCTGGCAAAACTTAAGAGCTTTGTCTTCACTGTGTTTTTATTGTGAAATAATTCTTGCATATGATAAGAGACAGCTTTTTATGCTTAAAAAGGAAAAGCCTGTGCCTACCTACTAAACAGGGGCTCCCTGTCTCCAGACAGGATTTAGTAGTGAGGTACCTTTCTCGTGATAGGTGTCATCTGAATAAAACCAAAGCAAATCAAAGCAAACCAAACCTTTATGCTGTAGCAAATACAAATCCTGCCTTCTCCAGAAATATTGGCACCCACTGATGAACCATCTGCAGCCAAGCCCACAGTAGGAAGTTTACTTTTTGACCTGGTGATAAGACCAGCACAGCTACTGAACTCCAGAAGAACTTCTGAAAGTTCCTGTCATAAAGATGCTCCATTAAGGGTATTTCTAACCAGTCTTACAAGATAAAGCAAGAAGATAGTTATTTCCCCAAGGTAGTTTTTCCTTCTTTTCCTTAAAAAGACTGTCAATACAGTATCTTGTTCTGTTTGGCTTTAACTGGGCACCTACTGCCTCAGATCTTGTCCATTCAGGTAGAAATAAGGACCAAGGAAAACATACAAGGCTGTGTTTTCAGACAGCTTTGGCCTAGTCTGAGATTCAGGTGCCACCCAAGGGACACTGCCTTCTGACTTCAGCCCTGGACACACATTGTACCCATGCTATGCTTGTTGATGGTGGGACAATCTCTGATGAACTCATGCTGCTATGAAAACCCCTCAGCCATTTTTTCCTTCCCTGACTAGTGCAGGCTTGTGTGAATAACGTTAATATGAATGCTTCAGTTCATTATAAATCAATTCACTGGCTTCAATAAACTCACCTAGTGCCAATAGGAAAGTTCCTTTACACAGACTTCAGCCAAAATAAAAACAGCAGGTCTTATAATTGATATAGGTGTTTCAGTATCATTAATCACATAAACATGTCTACTTGGAATGTATGCAATCCCTGTGTCTCTACAACTGCAGGGACTGAGGTGCTAACTCCTTGATACTGGTGCCATTTACCTAAATTGTTAATCCACTGAAGATAAATAGGTGTTAAGAAAAATACCAGAGTGCCTGCCTGAGGTGTTTTTTCTTCCCAGTTTCCCTCCGCTTAGGTCTTCTGACTTCACCATTTCATTAGTCCTCTCTATGTCCACAATAGACTAAAATGACCAACATATATTTAAAAAAAAAAAAAAAAAAAAAAAAAAAAGCAATGTTAAGAGATGAAAAAATCAAAATACTTTACAGGCCTTCTTTATATATTGCCAAAAAAAAAAAAAAAAAAAAAAAAAAAGGAAAAGGGCACAGTTCTCTATTCCCAGTCACCCCATTCAGGCCTCAAGCAAGTTTGGTCAGTCAGACATGTTCAAGCACTGCAGAGCCCCAGAGGCCCTCATGGAAGGCTCTCCTATACCAACAAGCACTGGGTGAAGCAAACACAGTCCTTGTGGAAGGACTACCATGTCTTGTCTAGAAATGGCTCTGAGGCCAAGCTGCCCGGGAAAGACCCCTCCCCACCCCCTCCCCCCCAAAAAGTAATAAATAAATAAATAAATAAACATATACATATATAATATATATATAATATATATTTCCACAAACCCCTGCAGAAAAAATATTTTGCAGTGTTTAGATGGCTTCTGTCTGCTTGAATAGCCTTGGGCCTCCATATAACTACTGTGCTGCACCAACAATCCCTCACCATTACACTTAGAAAACTGCATCTAAAATGCAACCCTCATGAGACTTAGAGGGGATTCAAATCATTGTGATGATAAATGCGTGACTAAATGGAAGTTAATATTTTAAAATTTTAAATCAAATTAAATTTATTTTTTTTTGTCCTGATTCCAGATGAAAATCCACGTGTAACCATTGCAAAGACTTGCAGGACAGAAAGTCCTGATTTCTGTTAGCTCTGTTTGAAGGTTATCTGAAGGTTGGACTGTCTCGTCTGGCACCAGGCTCTTAGTAAGCATCCAGCATCACCATTTTCTTTCACTTATCACAGAAAAGCTCACACCATTAGGAAGTTCCAGTCATTTAAGATATTGCTCTAAGAAAGAAGGGATGTATCAGCTAAATTTGAAGCAGCTCAGTGGAACAGCCCCCAAAGTTTGAGTTGGATAAAAATCATAGGAAATAAACAGCTATGAAGGCAGAAGGCCAAAACAAGATTTAAAAGGCTTTTGAACTCTATCCAGACAAGATCAGGGGAAATTAAAATGATTTTCTAAGAGCTGGCTGCTGGCAGGTATATTTTAAAGTAGTCTCTCCTGAAACCTCCCTTTCTGTGTTTCAAACTCTCACAGCTTCTCTGTGGATATGGTTAATTAGATTTTGGAAAGAAAATCTTTAGGAATATAATGTGTTCTTTCCTTACGTAACATTTCTATCATCTTATATCTAAGTTCCTCATGGACACTGGTAAGTTTGTTATGTCTCCCTCCCTTTCTTTGCCCTTCAAGAGCTGAGGAGGTAAGCTTTCCCAATTTTCTAGTGGGAGCTGTGAAAATCTCACTCTTGCAAAAACTAGGTCTCTGTCTGCTATCCGCAGCCACCTTCATTTACAGAGGGCTTTCCTTCGGTCTCATTTGCTTCCTGGCATTGATTGTGGTGGAAAA